GTTTGAGAGAGGTGTCTGTTGGAGGTTTCTTTTGGCCCCTCCGTCTTGAAAACTGACCGAGAAACCCCTGGGCACAAGGTTCGAAATAATCGGCGATGGCGAAAGTTTCTCCGGTTGCTTTAAAGCTCAATCCTCTCGAACATCACGGCTTTGAATAACACAATCGAATATACTGTCAATAATAGGTGTCAATAAGAAAGTGCCCTTGGGTTTATGACACCACAGCTGTATTTCCTTCGCGGTATTTGGCATGTATCATGGGCAACAGCGCTCTACCGTCTCCTTTCTGTTGTGATATTTAGTACTTAAAGAATAGATCCCGTGATCTTTCGAAAAATATTATTTGGGATTTAAACCATGATCATAAGATCATTATTGCAGTAGTACATAAAGGCTGCGACAATAGTGGATCAGTGAAGGGAGTTCTTTTCAATAAAATAGTAAAGCGTTCATATCCGACCGAAGAAATCTACAGGTAGTTTTGCTTAAAGCGGATTCTTATGCTGAACCAATGCAACCCTTATACCTATATACGCAAGGCACAGGTTCAATTCCTATCGAAACTCTAGTAAATTTCTCAGACTTCAATTCAGGGAAGTAAGATTCCTTAACTAAGAATAATTAGCTTGAGACCATTGCAACTGTCATTTTATACGTTTTAATGGCGGTCTGCTAATTACAAATGGGAATCTAAAAAAAAATGTTTCTTACGAGTGTTTGTATGTGTGTTGCAACAGAGAATGCAACAGGTGCAGACTATGTTGTTGAAAAGATGATGAGAAATGCTTTAGAAATTAAAAGCCAATCGGATAATCATGCTTTATTGAAGTTATTCTGCGATGCAGCATAACTAGCATTAAATGAAAACATTTTGGAATTCTTCAGTCCAAAGCACTCATAATCTTAAGATAGAGCAGATTGGCAAGTTCTAAGCTCAGTCATCGAGCAAAGGAGGCTATTTTTCGTTCGAAATGAGTCTAGACAAAAAGACAAAAAAATAAATTGATAATAAAACGACATTTGCACCTCGGTTTTTCGGATTTTCCTTTCCTGTGCTTTACTAGCGAATACAGAACTGTAGCTTAGTGCCTGAATCATCAAATACTAAAATCTGAAGTTTAAATCCTCGTAGAAAAGGAAAAATCCTCGGCAAAAAGAAAATTCCGAGTGCTCATTACAGGCCTCGATTCTACGACTTTCCAATCAGTATTTCGGATACTTTACCATTGAGCTCGTGGCAAGCTGAGCCGTTAATTATGGGTTTATGCTACCAAACTTCCAGCATAATGAGAGGATAGGAATGTCGATATGTGATGCTTATGCGCAATGTTGATTTAAATGAAGTTGGTAAATTTTAAGCCTGTCTATTTAAGTGAGGGAAGATGTTGTTCAGTGAATGTCACAAGCATACTCCGAGAAAAAAACTCCGAATGCTCATAACAGGCCTCGATCCTAAGACTTTCCAATTAGTGCCTCAGACAATTTACCACTAAGCTATGGGAGACTCGTTGCAAGCTAAGTCATTTAAGTCCATGGTGGCAATGTGGCAATGTTCCTGTATCCTGCGAGAATGGAAATGTCGATATGTGATACTTATGCGTAATTATGATATGAATGAAGATAATAAATTTTAATCCTGGCGATGTAAGTGATGAAAGATGTTTTTCAGTAAATGAAATAGGCATGCTCTTAGAAAAAAAATCTGTGTTTTCCTAACAGGAGTAGAACCTAGGACCTTCTGTACCTCAGACGCTCTACCTCTTGCAAGAGGACCTTTTGCTATGCAAGTCTACTACCGTGTCTCGAGTGAAGGAAAAATCTGTGACAGAAGAGCAGTGCTGATTTTGGTTGGACAGGACCGATCTGGAAAAACTAGCTTGAAGAATTCGTTAAACGGCATAGGTTTTGACAAAGAAGAACAAAGCACTATGGGCATCGATTTAGATACTCACCATTTTAGAGTTACAACGGAAATTTGGATGGCAGGGAGGGCCACTAAATACTATTAGTATATACTAAAAGAGCGGATAGCGTTGAAGAGGCGCTCTGATTCGCTACTCAAACTCATGATATCCTTTGCTCGCGCCGTATTTGCGCCCGAAAATATCGTAACTGTTGTAGGAATGGGTGAGTTATAATTACCTTTTTGTGTTACTTTACCTCACTCTTTTAGTATATACTAAAACAACTATTCGCCTCGGTGTCGATGGCTAGTGGTGGATATCTATCGAGCCTCGAAGAGGCGAGGTAAATTGCCCCATTAACCACCTCCACTCAGGTGAATAGTTTTTAATCATTAGGGAAAATCAGTAAAAGTTTTCCTTTGTTTTCTCTGCTCAAGGAGTCAAGTTGCAGTGATAGCACGTCATACGAGTGGAGACTAAAAGAAGATGCTTTGCAATCTCTGCGCAGAATTAAAACGGAAAAGGGGTCGAGGGCCGACATGTGGTGTCATTTCGGGAAAGTAGTTATCCGCGGACTTGATGTAGGTTAACTTATTGATTATAATTTGTTACAAAAGACCATTACAGTTCTCTCTTTATTATGAGTATTGAATCTTCTGTTTGAAAGTATCCACCTAAAAGGAATAAATATGCACTAAACCTTCATAAATTGTCATAAAGTCAAATATATTGCACTTACCTGCCAGCTTTGCTGATCACATATCTAAATGATGATAAGAATAATGATCAAAATGTACTTAAAATCTGAAATCGGCCCCGGCTAAACCTGCAGTAGTGATAATATGAAACGATTGATTTTAAACCCCAATTCTGGACCTACTGGTTGATTTTTCATCTCTCAAAACTACCTACGTTTGGCTAAATTCATGGTTCACGGAAAACTTTTCCACTTTTTAGCAGCCTATACATAGTTCAGTTTAGTTACGCTCGTTTCAAAATTCACGAAGAGATTTCAAACCCTTGCATTGGATATAAGCACCCACGTTTGTTTGGCTGAATGATTGCAGAATGACACTCTGTTTGAGATGGTAACCTAAAGCATGAATTATGGAATTTAAGATGAATCGAACGATAACCTAGTATCTACTGATAAAAATGACTTACCGGAAGTTATTGGGCCACTAGGTTATCATTTTTTGTGTCACCTTCATTAAGTTAAGACATTACTTACTTGCTTACTATTGCTTCCTTAAAAAGTCGTAACATGATCTTTGTTATGTTTAACAGATATGTGTATTGAACAAGGACTCTGACAAAACAGTGAAAGAGAAGGCAGTCCCCTTTAGCGACGTGAAAAATATATTCGAAGAAATTTACTTCGAAGAGTAAAAAACACGCTCGCGGTGTCGAGGATGGCTGACCCCTCCATCGTAGATTTGTACAGGCTGACATTTTGTCTCCCAGAAGCGAGCTTGATTGCAGAATAACTTTATGAAAACGAAGTGGGGAATGTTATTTAAATGTCTTTGAGTATTTAAGTCGTTCACTGTTTTTTCAGTCGTCAATCTTAATTTAAGCCGCCAAATTTCAGAGAATAAAATGTAAAATGTCTGCCATGAAACATAAAGTACCCGTTGGGAGTACTTTATCATATCACGCTGTATAAGCGTAATCAGGAACATGTCCTATACTAATTTCAGTTTGCCGGTCCTCGTAACTTTTAACTCTCAACGAGTCAAATTTGCTAGTTGGCCATTTTGCCAATAAATTTACCAGGTCTCATATCGACGAATGGATTCACAGATGGTCTTACCTTATTCTTCCATGATTTATTACTGAACAGAAGCAGGGCAACACGACGAAGTAAAAAGTTAATGGTGAACTATACTATGCAGCTGTATCAAAGTGCGTGTAAAGTTAAGCTTATCATATATTCTATACCTAACTAATTCAGGACATTGTCCTTCCTTGATTTGACAATTACAAAATAATTAGACTTCATTTCGTACATGTATTTGTTGAATTCTAACTAACCTATGTTTATAGTATGTTCTTTGGCGCGTAGACATGTGCATTCCAATAGACTTTATTAGCAAATATCATAAAGAGCGAGTCACAGTGTTGATAACATACGTTGCATCAGCCTATTTAATTTTGAGTTCCTTGTGTTGGCAGCATCAGCTTATTCAATTTTGAGTTACTTGTGTTGGCAGCATGCAGAGAACATGAGAAATACATGTGGTAAGTCGTGAACTTCTAATGTCCCCTCCAAAGGCACATGAAATTTTGGCGTGCAGATGAGAGACAGAAATTGCAGATAACCTTTCTCTATTAAACAACACCAATGGATTGAAGAGGTAACACATTTCTTTGCTTAATTGGCCTCATGGCAGATCTGTACATATCAGTTACAAATATAATGTCGACAGTGAAGAAATTAAATACGTGAACAATGTAATAATGACAACATATCTGCGTAAGATAAGCTTGAGAAATTCTTGAGTGTTTTAAACCAATACTTACGGAAAACTAAGTCTCTATTTCCTGGGGTAGATCCTGAACGGATGGTCATGTTTCCTTGCAGTGCAGAAAATAATAGTCAAATAAAACCGCGAAAGCGAAAGTCACATAAAATTAGCCGGAAATTAGTCAGAGCTCCTGATGTACCTATTCACCGGAGCCCGCGGTAGTTCTGTAGTGGATGATGGAGGTTCTTCCGGGGAACGTGCTAGAAGTATTGTAAATGATCCCACTAAGGCGATGATCGATGTCTTTGACAGATCTATGCAAGCTCCTTTAAAAAAGGCACTGCGTGGACCTTTATTCTTTATCCGTAGTTGCGGAACTTTTCTTAGTTCATGAAAATAAAACAGAGTATTTAAGGTGAACTCAAAATCACGCTGAGCATGGACATAACGGATCAATATTTGTTCCTGGGAAACTGAGCTCGAAGTGTTTCCGAGGAATAAATATTAATCCGACATAACTGTCTCCTGCTGACAAAATGCAATAATTCCATCATGCCTTGCGATCGCCAGACATCATTGCTGTCTAATCGAGCACAACATCGGCCATGACGAAAGTACTTTGGTAGCGACACAGCTCGATTCTCTCAAACATCTCAGTTCTGAACAATCCGTTTCCCGGTGAACTAAGCTACAAAAGGTTATAGTGAAAACCGATCGACCGTAGAGCTTTTTCAGCCGTTTTCAAATTAACGATTTGTGAATGAAACATAAACCACCACCAGAGACAATGGTAAGTTACAAATTTACTTAAGGATAAGGAAATGGCATGATAACTTCTTGCATTGTTTACCTAGAATCATTTCACATTCGTATTTTAAAACCATGGAGAAAAAAATCTCATTGACGAAAACAGGAATATACACAGATGTGTTTGACATTCGAACAGCATTTCCTTTGCGTTGTTAAATATGAATAACTGAGAACATTTCTCTAACGATGGACGCTCAGATCTTCATCGCCATTCAAAATATTTAAAATATGATTTCTGAGTTTTACTAAGCGCCTGATCTTTCGACAATTTTTATTTTCATATTTAAACGAACTTGATGATAATGGAATTAGTAAAGCATTAGTCGCTGAATGATGTCATTTAAAAAAAAAAATTAGGCAGCATGAATAACATTTGTGATCACGCAATTGGCTTTTCACAACTGCTTTATTTGTGATGAATGTACGTATATGTAAATCACTGAAGTTTTTTTCTCTCGCATCTGAGCGACTTTTTCTAGTTAAGAAAATCTTAAATCATAACAAAATATTGTACTTGTTAGCGATCGACAGGTTAACTTTAATCGAAGATGATCAAGCAATGATTTACTAAATCTTATGGTCATGTTTTGTAATTTTTCGTTAGTTGCGGTGAATAGGTAAGTTTACCAATATTTTAGCTACCTATTCATGCAACTGAAACGGGCAGTAATATTTGACTTGCCAATTTTCGGTTTACTTTTCCAGTTATTCCAGCAGAATCAACCAGCTGAATAATATCGTTCGCCCTCCCGGAAGTACTTAAATTTTCTCGAACGCTTAATCAAGTTCCGGTAAGAATTGTTTGAATTATTCTCTTTTCAAGCTCGATATAACCTGAGAAGCATTATAACTTACGATTTAGCACTTCAGCTGTTTTCGATTGGGTCATTGCTTGTCAAGATTATTATTCAAAGATTTACACTCACCACGTTTGTTTGTACTCGATAAAAATCATTCTTAAAAGTGTACATGTCTTGATACACTAAAGGGTTTGAACTGGTTTGAAATGGTTTGATATGATTTGACCGTGTGGTTTGGGTAATTCTAAGAAGGACCATATTGGTAGTAGCGACTGACTTTTCGACAACCTTACTGGAAGTCCTTATCAAAGTCGAGCGTAGAGTTGTTGTCAGGCGAGTGTTATAAGTCCGCCTAGTGTAAATTGATTGGTTAGTTTTGGCTTGTAGTTACTGCCTGTAAGACTTAAGTGGCTTTACGCCAATTGAGTATAAATGATAATGAAAATAAAAAAAATGATTTGTTTATGTTTTCCAGACCATGAGTTCTTGCTCTTCATCCAGAATCTAAAGTCACACAATTCCTAGACTTGTCATAGTTCACTACTAGTTAAAAATAACTTCAATACAATTTAGATAGTCTTAAAGCGATAATGTATATAAATATATTTCTATATGAGTCCTGTAATTTACTAAAAATAGAATAATTGAATAAATGAATCATTGCCTATCTTTTGCAACAGTATTAAAATAATGGTTCCTTCTCCTAATTGAACAGTCCCTGTCTGATATGTTCCTAATGTCCTTAGGGAGGCTATTAAAGACTTTGGCAGAAGTATGTCTTTTCGAACTGTCAATGGTAATAATAATAATAATAATAATAATAATGAAAATAATAATAACAACTAAAAAAGAGCAATTTAAATGGAAAAAATATATCTAAAAGATAAAAACCAAACGTTTTCGACAGCTAAGTCATCATGAATCACGATTATGATGATGATGATGACCTAACGTGGAAAACGTTTGGTTTTACTTTTTGAATATATTTTTTCCGCGTTTATAGTTCATTTTTAAATCTAAGCGAACTTTATGGACAATGATCATAATAATAATAATAATAATAATGATAATAATAGTAATAACAATGATAATAACTATTGTTTATTCACAATTAAACCAAAAAGCGAAAAGGAGATAAAAGAAGTTATAGCTTTCTGGTTTATCTCCTCGTAAAAGTAATAAAAAAGTTTGTATCTGTTTTGAAATAAGAAATACGTCGAACCTTAAGGTAACTAAATGTTCGCAAAAAGCGCCCGTAAGATGGTATTTGAGTCTATTCCTATAAATGTTAAATTGTCCACCTCAACGATCTATTTTGGCAAATAATTCCATGTATCAATAACACGATTAAAAATAATGTTTAGACTATTGAAAGGTGCAGATGTAAACTTAAGTTTGAAACAGTGACAGGGTCGGAAATCATTTGCGAATAAAAAACATTCTGAGGGGTCCTTGACCATTGTCTTATAACACTAAGTAAGCGAAGAAAATTATCTTCTTTGATACCGCGTTGGCCATTAAGAAGCTTCAGACTTTCTTCTAAGGGCATGTCCTGCCCAATGTATAGCTGCATCTTTCTAGAATAGAAAAAAAGCGTATGTTCTTATATTTTAGCCATAACGTAAGAGGACGGATTATCTTAGTACCCTTCAAAGGGACATGTCTTTCCATGCAGTCAAACAGCATTGTGTCGAACATTTCTAATTTCTCATCTGGGTCATGAACACCGTATATTGCACTCATTGGTAGGCCTTTGTCATCCTCAATAAAGGCATATTCAGTCTATTCAGAGAAGCGTCGTTCATTCCTGATGTACCTGTATCACAGTCCAAATCGGTTGAATCGTGCGTTCCCGCAGACGTACGGTACATAGTAATTACTAATCAGTGGTCGCGGTAGCACATCTGTGTTTGTCAGTCTGTTTACATAGTTAGTAATAAAGTGATCAATTGGATTTTTCGACTTGGCTGTGATTCGTGTTGACTTAGAGTGACTACCGGCGGTAGATCGTGTATGCAGAGAATATCAGTGTATTGCATAGGTAATGTCGCGTCTGAGTTAGGCACATCAATATCGAAATCACGTGTTATGACAAGTAGTCCATCTCAGTGAACAGAGAGATGATCTAGCATAGTTTTAAAACTCTCTAGCAGTATTTGTTCAAAACTGTTATCACAAGTAGTCCATCTCAGTGAACAGAGAGATGATCTAGCATAGTTTTAAAACTCTTTAGCAGTATTTGTTCAAAACCTCTGTTGTTACTTAGCCCAGGGATCTCACTTTATGTCTGGCTTTAGTTTCTTAATGTCCTGAAGACGCTTGAACTTGATGTCCGCCGCCTGCTTCTCTCTGATCTCGGTTTGAAATACATTCTCGTATCCAGATATTGAGACATACGGTCAGGTACTTGTTAGTTGTTTTCTAGCCATGTCTCACTCATACTGATGCTATCAAAAGGATAATGATTGATTGTGAGAATATCACTACTAATCAAAGAGTCCTTCCCAGGGCTAGTCTCGCCATGACGATCAGAGTACACGATCAAGGATGCTAGGATATGTTTTTAGATCTCTTGATGAAGACATTGCCATGACTTGTTGTTCTTATGCTGCATTAGATAGGTAGTTTCTGTCTGTTATGGATTTCCCCCCAGTTTTATGGCTGGATCAGAATTGACCTTCGCGGGAGACCGTCAACGTAATAATTTACTTATTAGTCTATGTCAAATCAAAATAAACCATGGCTGGAAAAGTTAGAAAATTAGTAAAAGGATTATGGCGCTCAGGAATCACGATTGGAGAGCTTGGTTATTCGTTTTTATTTGTTTGTTGTTTAATTACTTTTTGATTTGTCGCGAATAAACCTTCCATTGCTTGAGGCTATAGAAATTGTCAGCTGATTAGAAATTTTCTGGTTTTCAGTTGATCAATTGAAACGCAAGAGGAGAGAGGCTGGAAATGGATAGTGAATATGTACCAGTAGCCGAAGAATTTAAGAGTCGTGTCATTGGAAGGGATGGAAGCGTGTTGAATAGTATAAGACAGAGATCCGGAGCAATAATTACATCCAGATATAGAGAAGAAGAAGGATTTACTGTCAGTGGAAATGACCAGCAGAGAGAAACTGCAAAAAGACTAATCTTAGAAAAAGTGGTGAGTTGATGTTTTACTTATAAACGATGCGGTAACAAAAATTAAAAAACCAAACAAACATTCTGGATACCATACCGTTTAGTTCCAGATTAGTTTCTATAGCCTATATACTTTCCAGATTAGATGTTTAAAAGGTAACTACATCGTATGAATTCTTTAATGAACGCAGGTGATTATGAACATAATTAAACTCGTTTCGTTCATTCGAATGTTACAGAGTGTCCACGAATGCTGTCTAATTTAGATTTACGATTTAATTTAGATTTTTCTTCACAGGAGGAAATAAAGCTAACCAGGTAGCAGAAAGTGGAGATTCCAACCGAATATTACGGTTTGGTGATAGGAAGGCACGAAGCTAATCTTCTCGAGATAAGCAAAGAAACAGGGGCAGAAGTAACCCGTATAAGAGGAAAGGTTCATATTATTCAGGGAACCAAGCAACAAAGGGATCACGTTGAGTTGCTTATCAAACGCAGAGTGGTAGGTAGTTTGGATAAATTTTTGTTTCTCCTCAATCAATAAGTTTTGAGTCGCTCTTTAACCTGCGTAATTTTTTTTTTCGCCCGAAGAAGTGAAGGCAACCTTCCAAGCCTCTCATCATCATAACTGTGCCACTCAACTCCTCAGATAAAGTGCAAAAAAATTGCCAGCTACGCAGGGTAGAAAGTTCTCATCTTTGTGTCTTTTTTGTTAGCTTTAGCCAATTTTGTTTGTTACGACAATGTCATTATTATTTTCCTCGCAATACCATTACCTGAGGTGCAATTGTGTAATTTGTACATGTTCCAGATATTTTTGCACATGCTCAAGGTCAAAAGTTAAGAGATGAACAACTGTTTCCTTCTTAATTGTTGCACGTGTTCCAAGAAATGACAGACTTTACTCAATAGCAACTTCCAAAAATCTCTCATAAGCTTGACAACCTATAATGGTGTGTCATTTTAAGAAGAAAGGAAAGTGGATGTTTTATAGAGATTCATCTTTTGCAAGCCATGGTGAAGACTTATAAATATATTGCTTTTAAAGCAGGTTTTACGCAGAGCAGTACAAATTTCACTACGTACCTTCATTATGAGATTATTCGGCTTTCGAACCAAGTCACTTTATTTCTTCTATCTGAGTGCCCGAGAGGATTTTCCTCAAGGTTTAACAATGCGTGTGCGTTTTTTTTCTCTTTTCCCCCTTTGCTATTATTTTCTTTAATCTATTGCTACATCTACTATGTATATCTGTGTTGGCAGATATTTAAGATGACTGCAGGTGCAAAATATGAATAGTGTAACATTTGACAACCACCTCAAATCCCCTTTCTTTTATTAAAAAGTGTACAAATGAGCTCATCATTTTCAGGCTTTAGCACGACTCAGGGGCTTGAAAAACAACAGCTATACAGTCTGCTGTTTTATCGACGGTTGGAATGTTTCCGAGAGCTGTAAACTGAACCTGGAGCGAGTCTTCCCTAACTCGCAGGCGCAGTTTCGACTACAGTCTTCAAGAGAGTCCAGCTTACAGGTTTGCAATTATATTATGTATAGATTTAGCCAAGCCTAAAAGCGGAGCTCTTGTTAGTTTATTTTCGAGCCCTTTATTATACTGAACAAAAACTGTAACGAGACTCTTTATCACTGGCTTTAGAAGAGTTTCTTTAAGGGGATTTAGGAACCAGTCCAGGTGGTTGGGAGGGGGAGAAGAATTGACAAGGTCTGCAACCTGGGAACGATGCCCTCACAACTTGCAAAGCGATCAACACGCATGCTAGTCAGTGGTTCTTCAAACAACCTGGGACTTTTGTTGTTGTTCCTGATGTTTTGAGCAAATTTTCGAAGATTGGGAATGTTTTCTTCTTCAGATGAAGTGTATGATGTCAGCATCAGTTGAAATTATATTTTATTAAGTGTTACTTATAGTTCCGGTTTGGGAAAATGAACCAAATTGAAAGAAACGACTTCGCGTTAATACATCACTGGTCGATTGAAGAGTATACAGGAAGGAGGAGTCGTATGGGCTTCTCCTATATCCTCTCTTAAAGTTGCCAGGTATGACTTTTTGCCCGACCATTTTCCCCCAACGTTTCAACTTCCTCTGTTTAGCATAGAAAATTAAAAAGAAAAGTAATTTTCAAGTCGTTTTAGAACCTGTGGTTTTTTAAAACATTTTTCTCATTTTGATATTCTTGTTCCAAGATTGTCCTCTGGCTGGAAATGCACGGCGTCTTTTCTAGATTTTTTCTGTTATTTAGTTCGGTTACCTGCTGTAACTGCATATAATTTGGGTGTCTTTTAGATAACTTGAGATAATACCTGGATTTCATTTTTACATCACAGAAATCAATCCAAACATCAAGCAAGTTTTCTCTTTCGTTTAAAAGTTGAGTTAATGTTGTTATTGGCCATATTAAATAGGTTGAAAATTTTTGGGTGGTATTTTCTCACGTTTTTAAATAACTGAATTTGCTGGAAGGTGAAGTTGTTGCAACATGTTAAGATGAGACGCAACAATAAATTTTATTGATGTGTAAATAGTTTTCATTTGACTATCTATTGGCAAGTCTTTGTATCATATTGTAACCCAACAATTTTCAACAACTTTTAAACACCATTAAAAAATAAAAGTTAGTCAGGGAAATGGAAAATTTGTGGCATATACACCACCTTTGAAATGCCATGTCCATAATAAGCTTACAGGATTGAGGAGGATGTATGTGGGAATAGGCTCTCTCGTCTGTATCATCACTTTGCTAATCGCTCCTGTTTGCAATGTTTTGATAAGGTTGGGCTGTCAGGGCAAAGGAACTAAGAATTTTAGTAGGCAGTGACTTTGTTCAAACTCGGAAACTATCATTGTGAAAGCCATACTTGTGCCTGGTAACTCATTATTATAAACTAGTTTTAAGAAGGATACAATATTTTATTACATAAGTTTGATGCATAGGCTGTGCACAAAACTTTAATTTGATTATACTTTTATAGCCAATACCAATCCCTACTCATGATAAAATGTTAGGAAGATTGGAGGAAAAATAATGTGCCATATATCTGCAAGTTTTCATACAATTGTTTTAATTACATGAATATGAACTGATACTGGGAGATCTGAGAATATTCAAAAGGAAAGGAAATTTGGTTGAAAAATTGGAATTCAGCATAGGCCAGATAAACAAAATTCTTAGAAAATGAAGTGTGTACTAATGTAAAAGCTAAGCAAACTTTCTTACAACACCTGCCTGTACCTGTACGGCACATAGTAAAGTCATTCTAAGTTGCCATCACCTCGGTTTTATTCATTGAAAACACATGGATATGCAGATTTCCTATAAACCTGTAGTTCAAGCTTGGTGATGACTTTGAAATTGCAATGCACACCTCAAAGGGACAACAAGTAAATTTCAAGTTTCTATTTATTCAGTTTAGGTTAGTGAGGTAAAATTGAGTCACACATTCATACCACAACAGGTTCAAGAAATTTCCAGAACTAATTTATAAGGCTAGCCTACCTGGAACAATCACCTTCATATACAAATTAGACCAGATTTGTACTGATCATGCACAAAAGAACTATCTATGATAAGAGGGAAGGCTTTCCTTTCTTCATATAAAGAAATACTGAGGTTATCATCTTTCCACAAGCTCAGTGGAAAGTGAGAGTGAATGCTGGAGACTGATAGTCACTATGTTATTTGAATAAATATCCAGAGGAGGATAAAAAGCTAGATATGGTTTGCACAACTCTCTTACTTCAATTTTTTAACCTATAAAGCTAAGGCATTTACATTCTTGCTTTATACATTAAGTGGACACTAATAAATTTAACTTTCATGTGTCAAAATACAAAAAATGTTCTCTTCATCAAAGTGCCCTAAACATTACAGGGGAGTAAGGAGGTCAGAGTAAAACATGAATTAAAATAGGAGGGCCCCCATTAATTTCAGTCCTAATTAATGGAGGATCTTTGCTTTTCCAGAATCCCACTCTTTAAAACTCACATATCTTGTGACCAATTCCTGTTATCAATGTTTTGTTTGGGTATGAGCATTGACAAGAAACACCATGCATTAATGAAAGGTTGAGCAAGAGTATTAAATGCAATCTAAATAATAAATATTATGTTACAATGTGGTAGCTTACACAGCAAAATTATATAGTCACACAATTCCACACAAAGGAAGTCAGGTTATTGACTCACCTGCTTCAACTTTTGAGGGCTTAGAGTACAGAGAAATAGAGATGGTAAACAGTTACAATTAATATAAAGGAGAAAGTTTGAAAGCTAAAAGATATACATTGCAATCATTAGACCCTATGCAACCTCACAAAAATGTGGTCCATTGCCACCATAACTTCTCCCAAGTTACAGGTCATGTGGAAGGTTCCTGCATGGGGAATGACATTTTAATTACCTCAGCAAACTGTAACCGTCAGAATTGCAAGCCAAGGTGTATTTACCAAGTGCTCAAGTTTCCAAATTAGACACATAATCGTCACAGTGGAGTTCACTTCCTTCTTCAGCTTGATTGTCCTGTTACATGTGAAAACATCAGATGTTACTCACATATTTAAATAATTACCTGAATCAATTTTTTTTATAACCTGCTTCCTTTAATTGTGCTCCAGAAATAGTAAATGATATTGAAGAGGAAAGGAAAAAGTTCTTGAAACCTGCTATGTGAAATGAAACTTTGTTATGAAAGTTAATTGGGACAGCGGCAAAAACATCTGTGAAGCTATAATAAGAATTACCTTTCCACGTAAAACAAACCCCAATGAAGCATGATATGAATAAACTTAATCTCACCCAGTTTGAATGTAGAATCCAAAATCTAATTAACTTACTGGTGAATAGGAAAAAGCTCAATGTGTTTTTCCTGCCTCTGTCATTCTAAATATCACAAATCAATAATGCCACCACTTCAGTGTGATTTTTTTGATAATGTGTACTTTTTCTTATGGACATCTATTTTTAGTACCTATCTTTACCAGCTGACATTCGAGAAGAATCAAGTCTACACTCTCTGGTAATTTGACACATTGCAGGCAAACCCTAAAACTGATGAAATTTTATTTGATCAAAAAAATGATAAAAAAAATAATGTAGCATGAAGTTTCAAACTTACTGAAATTAAGTTGACTTCATGATTCAGACTTTAGTTAAAGAAATGTGTAATAACTCTTTACAAGGATGAAAAGGAAATGCCATTTACGAATTTTAAAATAGTAAATGCCACAAAATTATGGATGGGATTTAAAAAACTACTAAAATATGGCATATCTATTCACTGAGATTTTATTCATTGGCTGGCACACAGAGCTTAATGGCGTGCTTGTGAGCTCAAATTGCCAAGACCTCGTTTAATTACATGATCACAGCTCGGACGCTTCTTCCAAAATGTGATGACTAACAATTTCAGAGATTGATTCTTCAGTTGTTGTGGTTCTTGTTTTAAGAACAGGAGGCGTAGATTGTAAGACACACACACGTTCCGAAGCAAGAAGAACACTACACTTAATCATATTACACGTGAATAGTGATAAATGCTTATATTTTATATGCAGTGACCAAGGTACTAAAATGATGATCGCTGGCGGGAAACGGAGGCTGACCAATATCATGACATCCAGCATTAGGAAAGAATTATCGTATCGCAAGCATGTTCATCAATACTCGTGCATTAAATACGCCTTGAGATGTTGAGCGAAGAGAAAGTGGCTCCATGTTTTGTGAGACAAACCATTTCCTGAAGTTCGAACGAATCGAGTATACAGCATGAAAACATAGCGCTGAAAAGTACTCATCTCGTGATAGGACTAACTCCATGTTATCCGTGAGTTTGTTTGCACCACACATTTGCGGTCTGTAATTAAATTCTCTGATGTTGGACGGGTTCTCGCCTGACAATATTGTCAAAATAAAATGTTTACCGCATCAGACTTATGCAAACAACATTGCTGACTCAATCTCATTTTATTTCAATTTGGGAAAGGCCATTACTTCGTTCTTAGGGTAAAAACAACACATCTTCGACAAAGCGCGATTTTTTAAAAGAATAGAGTGCATCCTGCGACAGTTAACTGAAGAGAGAAAGAGGTAGAAACCTGCTCACGCCGAGCGCTATCATTTGAAAACTCTCCAGGCAAAACAAAATCCGTAAGATAACTTCTTTTCCCTTAACACCACGACTTTATTAAACATTCCAAACGATAGGACAAGAAATAACTTGAAGAATACAAACACTTTGAAATGTTATTCGAGCAATGAACCGGCGTGAGGGTTTTTAGGCGATGAATGCCAAAGTTATAGTTTTACCGAAACGTGATTTGAATTAAAAACTGAAACGACGACTGGTAATAAAGGCTTGAATTTTTCTGGGCCTTACTGTATGAGAAAACCCAGATAAGAAACGACTTACCTCCTCTTCTTTCTCAGATCCTTTGTAATTCGCTTCTCTTCGTTTATGACCTCTTTTCAGTCTGTTTTCAGTAGTGTCGTTGTATTTCCTTCTCAAGTTGCTCTTTTCCAGATATTTGCCTTTATATTTATGCCTTTTCTCGTTCTCTTTCGCGTCCCTCTCGTCGCATTCTGCCTATTTTGGTGACCTTTCTAACTTTCTTGAGCGTTTTTATCGACTCACTTTACGCCTATTACTTCTTGCTTTCTTTGGTCGCTCTGTCTCTTTCTTTCCGGCCTATTTTCATTCAAACCCTCTACGCACATTATAATTTAAGGTCTAAACAAGTGAGTACTACTTATTCTTTGACAATTGAAATGGAACGAAATTGGGTCGTGGTTAGCAACTAAAGGTAACGCGTAATTTCTCATGGCTGCAATATACGCCTGTTTTCCAACTCACTTATCGCTTTTTCACTCTTTGGTATAAGTTATTGTATACTTCTTTGCACTTTGAAAGTTAAACTGGGATAAAGAAGAGCGTCCTCAGCAAATTGAACTCCAAGTATTGTATTTTGAGTTTTTTACCCTCTTACGAATCTTTATTCATTTCATAGTGGACCGAACCAAAGCCAGTAACGTTATTGGCCGCACCTTATGTAAATTATTCATAGGTTACTCGTGCAACTGTGACAATACCTCATAGGGCGTGCGCATATCTGAATAAAGAACAATACGCCAGGTTTGTTGTGCACTTTGTCTTTGTCAAAGGTCAGTGATATCCAGTGAAATAGCTAGATGATATTTAACTTCTTCATGTATCTTCCTTTGAATAGGAATGTGTGAGTGACTCAGGCTATTTATCAAAACTTAAAGACGCCACGTTGGAATCGCTGCGGAAACTGAAAGCTAAAAAGGATTCAAGCAACCAGTTAGAAGCTGACATGTGGTGTCATTTTGGCTTAGCCACTATTAGTGGGCTTAGTAAAGGTAACACCTGACCCCTGAAAGCACAGGTCAAAAGGAACTTTCACTACAAAATACTAATTACATGTATTAATGATATTGCAGTCATCATATTGTGGAACGATAAATCAGATAACCTCTTAGACACGTTATAATTACACGAATCAACGGGCAGTTGCTTTCATTGGTGCACCATTAGCAAAAAGATTTTGCTGTTACTGTGGCTTACACAAATTCACGGAACAATAACCATTATTCCTCGTGGATGTGGCAATATTTTATGAATACCTTTTGCCAGTATGGGGCTAACATTCAAGGAGCATGAACGTTGTTGTTATTGTCATGTTAATTTTTTTTCATTTCTTTATAACATCAACATTTCTTGCTTAGTGACCTTGACCGCGATGTCACGACGATACTTAAACGTCGATTAAATTCCTCAATTTGTACCTGTTTATACGTTATAAAACCCTTTATTCCTCCTTACTTTATATTTAACTTAACACAAAATGTTCGTTTCCTGCCACATTAATGACCATTAAATTCAGGGATTTTTACCTGAGTAATGGTCTTCGGTTGGTTTAAAAGTTTTGCCTTAAGAAGCTTTGTTCTGTTACATAGGACATTGAGAAAGAAGAATGGAGCATAGATGATGCAAGAGCAATGTTTCAGTCGTCAGAGGAAGGAAATTATTGGAAGGTTACTTTTCAAGAAGGCGTGAATTTCATTGAGGATATTTTCAGTGGATATTATCATGACAAAACACCAAAAGAATATCTTGACTATGCTGCAAGATATGACTTAACATTTCTCACTCCATGCAGTCGTCAAGTGAGATGTAAGGTGAGTCTATTTACGATAGCGATTAACGTGATTGGGGCCTGTTTTTATAATTCCCGGTACCTTAACGGGCCTGAAGCCCGGAATCAAAGTTTAAAGAATAGCGAGGCAGATTCTGGCTCGAGTCCGTTTTTTTCTTTAGCTAACAGTTTTATCTCATTATTTTCAAAACTTTTTGAACCACTATCTTGAATCAAAACAGAACAGTTTTATGGGCCCGTTAAGTTACCGAACTTTCGAGAAAAGGCCCCCAGCCCGCTTATCAAGACTTGCTTGGTTTACCTGACAAGATGTCAATTATCCCAGCCGAACTCGCACAAATTAGCAATGTCGCGATAGAAAGTTCAGGCTCAAGATGCGAAATTTTCAAAAAATGATTAACTTATCAATACCGATACTGCCAACCACGACACATCCGATAGAGAATGTATCAAAAATTAATATTTCGCTTAGTTAGGTGTAACTATAGCTGCAAAGCAAGCAGTACAAATTAACTTCATTTGCGCCAAGATCATTCTGCTGTTTTACTGTACGTTTTGGAGAGTGTCAGCATCGTCGGTTAGCTACTTTTGTTAGCCCATCTCACTTTGTTATTTATGTTAACGAAGAATTCAAAGTGTTAAATGGTTCTATATTCACATTTGTTATGTTATAAACGTTAATACAAACAAACAACTTTATTTAAGGAGGGTAAAACTCAACAAACTGATGAACTAGCCCTCGATCCTAAAAGTGCCATAATTAGAGTTAAAATGTATTCGAGGATTATAAAACTTGTCGACAGGTCTATAAGAATATAAGCTAAAAACTAGATAAAATGAAATATGCTGCTTGGGTCGGGTTAAATCGCATTCGGACTGAAATGTTCTACTTCATCATAGCTCGTTTAATAATGTCTGTCAAAGGCCTGTCTGTAAGAAGCTACTGTTGTCGCCTCTTTCTTTAGGTTAATGGGTAGTTGGTTCCACAATCTCGTCGTAGATACGCTAAAGGTCCTCCCTCCCTCGGTTTCGCGATTGAAACGAGGTCAGACGAGATTTAATTTACTATAACAAACAGTTCGTGTGTGAAGGTCTGCATTAAATTTGAGTAAATCGTACTTGTTAGCGGGACAGTTTCCTTAATGCTTAAGGACTAAAGTACTCTTATTTAACTTACCTTCGTCATAGAAAGGAAGCCACTCTAATTTCTTAAAGAGTTCACGCTGTTCGACCTTGTATCAGCTTCCAAGAAAACTCGGGCAACGCGATTGAAGCTTAAAGACTCTCATTATGTTATCACTTGAACAGTTCGACCAAGCAGTTGATCCACATAACATTAGTTGTTTTATCATTGCGTTGTAGTATAATGTGCGCTGTTCAATAGGGAGGAATCTTCTTATCTTCCTAAGCAGTGCTATTCTTTAGGATAGTTTCTTACGC